AGTTTCATTTTGTGACCCTTAGTTCTTATACTGAGGGATGGAAAATAATACTTTTATCTTTACTTTCTCTGTACCATGTAGTATTTTGCAAGCCCTTATCATGTCCCCCCTCAAGCATCTCTTCTCTAAACCAAATAGGTAGGAACCTACCAGATGCATGATTTCACAGATTTATTGGAAATTGTGTAATTGGCAGTCTCCCATGAAATAGACAGTTCCCCGTGAAAAAGTGTGGGGAACTGGCTATGTTCAAAGAGCTGGCAAAAAGCTGTTTCCTAGAAGGGCAGGGGGAGGGGGAAGGGAGCAAAGAGGAAAAAAATAGATAGACTGCCCATCTCCTGAAGTGGGGAGAGAGAGAAGTGGGAAAAGTTCCCATCTCTGTCTCCAGAAGGGGAGGTGGGGAGCAGGGAAAAGCCCACAAAAATTCCCCTTCTCCTGAAGGGGAGGTGGGGGGCGGGATGATAGCTGAAGTGGAGCAAATCAGAGGCTGAGCCCCTGATGTATTGGTTTTCCTCTTTAATAAAATTTACGGTTGGTATTTTTTTAAGTAATTGTCTCCATTGCTTTGTTTTAGCCAGGTAGCTAGCTTTACACTTCTTCAATTGGGTACAGAAACTGTTTAACTGTCACACTTAAACTGTTTGTTTACTCAGTAATTATCACCCCCAGCCCCTTGAAGAGGGTGCTAATCATTGGATTAGCCAGGCAGCTCCAGCTAGGGCTTTTCAACCAATGCCTGGGAGGGGTGGGACTTGTGGTGCCCCTCAGCCAATCAGAGGCAGGGAGGCACTTTGCTCCACTTTCAAAATGGCAGCCCTGGCCATGATAAAGCTGTGAAATCCAGGGCCCCAGGTGTGTTATATCCATGTAATTGGCCACCAGGCCCCATGAAATTGGTAGGTCCCTACAAATACACCTAGCCTCCTTAATCTCTCCTCATATGCAAGCCCCTCCATACCACTAATAATTCTTGTTGCCCTTCTCTGTACTGTCTCTAGTTCTGCATCTTTTTTGGGAAGTGGGGACCAAAACTGGGCACAGTATTCAAGGTATAGACGCATAATAAGATTTATAAAGGGGTATTATGATACTTCTGTTTGGTTTACAATTCCCTCCTTAATAATTACTAACTTTCTGTTTGCCTTTTTGACAGCTGCTGACACTGAGCAGATGTTTTTAACAAATTTCACAATGACTGTGCTAATGCAGAGCCCACCTTAGTGTAGGTATAGTATGGGTTATTTTTGCCCATGTGCATCACTTTACACTTGCCTACATTAAATTTCATGTCATTTAGTTGCCCATTCACTCAATAGTTCAAGATTCTTCTGTAGCTGCCCAGAGTCCTCCTTGGTCTGTATCACTTTGAATAACTCTCAGTTTGAATAATTAATACTACAGAGCACAGAGCTATGCCACTGACTGCGTGATGCCAGTGACTATTTGATTCCACTGTTAAACCAGGTTCATCTTTTCTAGCTCTTCTTTTGCAAGGCCTTGCAACATTTTTATCATTATCTGCTTGTTCTCTCAGTCTTCCCAGGCAGTGTTTCTATGATGGAATGTGAAATAAGTCAGATAACAGGTGATCACTGTTTTCTGCTCAGTTGATACCCCATTTGCATGGGTACATCTGATGTCTCAGTGGCTGTACAGGGTCCAAATTCATAGGGGTAAGACCCCTGAGAACAGTATTTCTAGTCTTGAAGAATCTCTTGGAGATTCTGGTGGGCCACATTCCAGAATGGTTTAAATCTTTCTCTTAGTTGTCACCATCTTAATTGTTTTATTGTCTTATTCCTTCCATCCAAAGTCCAGTATACCCTTTGGGTATCAACCCATACAACAGCCGGAACAGTGAGAAACCAGTAAATGATTGGGAGACCTGTCTTGCAATAAATGGGGGGTAAAGGGGAGGAAGTCATAGGATCATAGAAAATTAGGATTGGAAGAGACCTCAAGTGATCATCTAGTACAACCCCCTGCTCAAAGCAGGACCATCTCCAACTAGGAATCATTGTTTCTTTAAGGGGCATGGGCTCTAGGGGAGCTTGTCAGTACAGACCCAAGTGCTACTAGCTCATAGTCCAGGCAGGATTCACAGAAACTCCTGACATTTTTATATGGATGCTAGCTTCCCTAAAATGTGGCAACAGTTTGGGTAAGGTGACACTGGTCCAAGCACTTTAGTTTCACTTTCATGTTGTTTATAACCACCAAAAGATGTCATCTGGAGTCTGTTCTAACTTCAGCTTTGAATGCTTGACTGTGGTGCTTGGGACCACTGTATCTGCTTCCTTAACACGGTGAGGTTCTCCCTTCTTCTTAGCCCTTTGAGTTATGTTTTAGCCCTTCTCTCATGCAAGAAATAATCTCATACAGGTCCCTTTTCTTCAGCTTATGGCCAATGAGTATGATGTCTCAATTACTCAGATCATATCACTGTCTGTAGTAACTACTCTATCAAGACACCTTTGCTCCCCCTTAGTGCCAAGGGTACTGATACTGGGCAACTTGGGCCCACCATGATCCATTGCACCCTGACTCAGAGACCTGTGTAGCTATGAGGATTGGCCAAATTGGTCTCACTGAAGTCTCAATACCCAGTTCCTTGGACCACTTCCTACCTACTACCTAAAGTCCTTTGCTTTTTTACCCCTTTCAGTTTACTTCATCCTTGGCAATATACCTCTGTCATCTCTGTTCTTTGGTATAGCCCTTTGCCCTGGAACTCTTCCTTTACTGGGAGTTGTTCAAGCTTGATTTGGGTGCCTGGAAGTTCCTGTTTCATTGGATTCCCAGCCTGAACTAACTCTTTGTCTCTCAGTCTTTATAGCCTTAGGTCTGGCACAGTCAAAAGTAAGAATAGGTAAGTCCTTAAATAGATCTCTGTTCATGCTTCACATAGGTCCTTGTTGCCCCTGGATTCTAATTTTCCTGTTCATACTTGGGGCTTACTAGCTCCATCACATTCAACCATCATAACATCTACAAATGTGTGCATATTTTATGTATTCTTAAATGTGTATAATCTCAGTGGCTGTACTTTTATATGAAATAAAAGTATCAAATTCTGTTTAACATTCAATCAAACATATTTTTACTTAGCTCCTGTTGAAGCAATTGTGCACGTTGCTGGGTAATTAAGAATATCTACTGATAACCAAAAGCAGCGCAAAATTCTCCCCAGCAATTGTGAGAAACAAGTTTTTCTTGATGATTATCATTTATTGGACCAGCTGTATAGTTGGGAAAGATGTTGGACAAGCTTTTGGGCATAAGGTCTGGGAAAGAAGCAACTACAGCCTAAGCTAAATATCCAGCAACTGGTGTTATAATTGTGGTTCTTCTTCCTGAGCTTAAATATATTTGTTTCTGTCTTCGTTTTACAGTAGTTTCCCTGCTTTATTATTTAAATCCTACTTTAATGACTAGCATATTTTGCCATTTTTAAGTTTCTAAATAAGTGCATCATTTGCTTAATGACTATCACATTATTTTATTTTTATTTCTTTGAAGAGGTCTTCAAAAGAAAAGAGTTTATATGATTTTTAATAAATTGAAATGTTAATCTAGATAAATAATTTCCATAATGTAGATACCCTAAGTATTCATTGGATTATGTGTTAACGTACTTCTGCATTCCTGGTATATGTAGACATGTAAGAATTTATTGCTATCCATTACCATGTAAACAGAAAGCCATTGTCTATGCAAGAGAAAAGTGCTCCTATGTTTTGGTATTCATTCAGTTAGTTAAGCATTCCTCATATGTATGGATCAGAGAAGGACAATTTCTGAGACCTATAACAATTCTCTGTGGGGCTACCATCTTGCCAGCAAGACAAAAATAAAGCAATTCCTAGGAATGATCCAAAGTTTATCAAAGCCAATATGAGTCTTTTACTTCAATATACTTCCGGTTTAACTCAGTCATGTCCCACTTAACTGGACTCACAGGCTAGATGAGTGGGGCAGGGCTGGTCTGCAGGCCAAAGGCCAAGTGTAGACTGCAGAGCTGCATCACCTGGTCCACGGGGCTGGAATTTGGCAGCAGCAGTGTTAACTGCTGTGGGCTCCCAGAGCTGTGGCAGCCTCTGCTCTTCTGTCTGCCAGATTTCTGGCCCTGTAGGCAGCCATACAAGCCAGATGATACTGCTCCACAGGCCATATCTTGGTTACTTCAGGTTCCACTGATAGAAGAAAAACCCATTGAGGAGACTCCATGAGAGATCACAATATATGAGGGGCCAAGATAAGCTATAATTAGAAAACTGATGTAAATTGAGCCAAATACGTCTCAAATTATTTGAAATTACATAGAATTTGGCAGCTAAAATTAAGACAGAGCCAGCTCAGTTGCTGCTGCTCTTTAAAAATCAGATTTACCTGCAGATATACACATTTAACTTGGTGAGCAATAATCTTAAATCATGTATTTTGTAATTCAAGAAGGTTTTGCTTTTGACCTGATCTGGACAGCATCTGAAATAAACATTTCTTAGATCATAGTTTGGGACAAGTAGTAAATGGTGGTAGATCTATGTTTAAGTGTTTATTTGATAAAACAGTATTTAACAGAAGGACAGATGATCTTCAGGCAAGTTTTTTCTGTTCTACACATCAGTAATGAATGGTCTGCAGTTAACTGATTAAGGCCGTCATTCAGGAAGATAAACAGGTTTATCCTAAGAGTCATAAATTGTATTCCAAATGACATGGTAATATAAGAATGATGTTGTAGCTGTGATGGTCCAGAAATTATGCAAGAGGCAAGGATTTCTTAGGGTGATAAGTTTTTCTGCAGTTGGTACAGTAAAAGATATCCCCCTGAGAAATGCTCACCCCTCACATTCCAGATGACATATATTTATTAGTTTGAAAAATGCAAATGTTATCTGTATCTTCTAAACTATAGAATAGTTCTGAAACATTACCACGATAGATGTATTTTAATAATTCAATACAAAAATACTTATTTTGGTATGCATTTTTTTTAGGGAACAAAACTGGTGCTTTGCAACCTGGAATAAAAATGGGGAGTTCAGATCACCTTTATGCCATGAAAAATGCTTCAAACACTACTATATTGAAACAATATACTGCTTCTTCCCCTTTTAAGGTGGATAGTTTACATCCTTATTCAGCATTAACACACAAGCCTAGTATAACAACAGTGGCTAATATTCAACCAGATTTTTCAGTTCCCTACGGGTATTTTGAATGCAGTAGTAAGCAACCTCATGTGACACCTTATATTAATTGTAAGAACTTTGATGTATCAGTCAAAGATTATACTGGAATTCTGCTTAATGATAAAATGAATGGTGTGCCGCCAATTCTTCCAGAAGTCACTGTTTCAGACCACGTAACCCATAAAGACCCCCTTCACAGCGTACTTGAACAGCAGCCGGACAACAAGCAAAACTGTCTGCCTCAGTTAGAAAACTCTCCCCCTTCAGAGTTGATCAGCTCTTGCAATTTGTCAGTAAACTCTCCAGCAAAGGACATAATAAAAAAGGAAGCTAACTGTTCTCATGAATGTCCAAAGGAAAAAGGTGGATCTGATCAAGAACAGATATGTGATTTTGAAGCTATTGATGAAAAGCGAAATAATGGGCTAAGAGAACCAACAGATTCTGAAGAAAAAACTGAGGAACTGTGGTCAGACAGTGAGCACAATTTTTTGGATGATGACATTGGTGGTGTTGCTGTGGCACCTTCTCATGGTTCTATTTTAATTGAATGTGCAAGACGTGAACTCCACGCCACTACACCAATTAAAAAACCAAACCGCAATCATCCCACACGGATCTCCTTAGTTTTCTATCAGCATAAAAATTTAAATGAGCCAAAACATGGATTAGCTATGTGGGAAGCAAAGATGGCTGAGAGGGCAAAAGAGAAGGAAAAAGAAGCAGAAAAATTAGGGACTGAAAATGCTGAACTAAATTCTAACAGCAGGAAAACAAAGCAAACCAGTGAAACTAGAGAGATTTTCTATGAAGAAAATGAGTTAAACCAAATTCCATCACGCAGAGCATTAACAGTAACTAAAGATAATATAATAACAGTGTCTTCTTATGCCCTCACTCGAGTTGCAGGGCCTTATAATCATTGGGCATAGGTTTAGTAGCAAATGCCTTGCCTTGGTGCAGTGTTATACAGTATTTCTTTAAGGTGCTGTTAAAGAACAAGTCTTATGTAGTTTACTATTTGTTCATCTCAACCATTTTAAGGCTGAGGTAAAAATGGGGATTTTTCTTAAACTGTGACTTTAACATTTGGTGGTGCTTGAGCACATTTTAAGCAAAAAAAGTTGTATAGTTTTAATACATTCTAAAATGATTTGGGTTAGGTTATTAACCTCGATTGACTCATTCAATTTATTACCTTTAGGAATTTATATTTTGGTGCTTTAAATCAAGTCTGTTTACTACAAAAGAAATCATTTGTAGGGATTTTAACAGGTTCACATTTTATGATATAAAATCAAGTTATACACTGATAGCTCTACACAGCTCTTGGTGCTTGACCACATCAAACAGTTAACATAATAAGCTGAATTATTACTTCATGGTGCCATTGCTCTAACAACTTCCAATCACTGCTATAAAATCCAAATGACAAATATTTTAAAAGAACCAATGGAAGAATGTTGTCTGCATAGATTTATCATTACATAAATATGAAGGTATCCATAGTGATGGCTGGAAGTTGTTTGTAAGCTGTAAATATATATTTAAAAGCACTTTCTATTTTTAAAATTAACTTGAAATAGTATAGTATAAGAATCATATTGTCTAAGGTTTGTGCATACTCTACAGAAGAAATCATTTTATTCTTGCTGTGTAGAGTTCCATAGTATTACAATTGCAATATATATGCTAATAGCATATGTGATTGTTTTTAGGCTTGCCCTTTTTCACTGAAAATTTTATGTCACATAAACACATAAGAGTAATAAAATGCAGAAGCATTTAATTATTTACACATATGAAATTAAGAAACATCTTGTCAATATGTGTGTTGCTATTGGGAATTATGTAATGAATGTTATTTGTTGTTTTTTGAAGACAGATTTTATTATGATTTATTTGAGCAATAAGCGCATACGTCTCATTCATCTGGAGCATTGCAAGTTTTATGATCCAACCAAATGTTCCTAATGCCTCAGGGGTAGGATTGTTTTGGGATAAAAAAAAATACCCCCTAGAGTTGCCTTATTCTGTTCTGAAAAAAAAATACATGTGGGGAAAAAGAAGTCAGCATTGGAAAATTAAAACAATATTCTAATATCAAATGTTTAACAACAAATTTTAGTTGGTAATACCCTTCCAGAATGTTCACCAGCCACTAGGAATGCTTCCTCATTTCAAATATATTTTTAAAGAATGTCTTGTTTTATTTTGAACACTGATCCATACATTTTATATGGAATTGTATTAAATACAAACATTTGAATTCATGTTCTCCATTTGAGTTGGAAAAGTGACATATGACAAACAAATACAGTTATATTTTGCTAAACAAGAGGAAAAGCAGACACTCCATTCATTAAGTACTGTAGCATCTGACCCTTCTCTTTCCAGTTCTCCTTTTCTCATTTCTTTTTGCAGTTTATTATTCAACTTATTTATTATTCATCTTATTACCAAACAAAAAACTTAGCTAAGTGAGGACCTCAACCTGCAGCTGTTATTTATGAAAGCAGTTCTTACTTTAGCAGTCACACTGCAGTCAGTGAAACTACTCAAGTAAGGACTACTCTTGGGAATAAGCGTTGTGGGTTTAGGTCTTGGCAGTGAAGCTCCACATTTATCATGCTTGTGAATTCTCACAGAATATATAACCACACAGGTTATGTAACTGAGATTAAGTTTTTCCAATGAAAATGTATACCAGTAATATACTTGATATTATAATGTATTGGTGCTGTAATAAAATTAATCTGAAATGTCTAGATCCATTTTATCTAAAACCTAGACAAGGTGCTTTTTTCTCAAAAAGTTCTACCATAATTGTTATATTTACAGTTTTGGTGCAAAACATATGTGAATTTTATTTTTTTTATAGACAGTGCCAACTAAGGTCCTGATCTAGTGAGCAGTTATACATGGGAGTAGTTTAGTGAGTTCAGTTTGACTGCTCTTTGATGTACATTTATACACCTGCAGCGTCTGCTGGATTAAGGCCTAAAGTTGTAATCACTGTGTAATGACCTTGGGTGCAACCCTGCAGTCCTCATGCAAACTGCTTATTGAAATTAAGAATTTTGGTGGCACACGGACAGCAGAATTGGACCCATTCTTTGTATCTTACCTATTTTAATTTAAACTTGTAAAAACCCCATATGCTGCAAATTTTAGTTCAAAGCTTGTTATTTGTTCAAATAGAGGATATGAAGGGATTGTAAATAAAACAAAGTCAATATTATGCCGTCATTTTGTATCAGCAGTTTTCTGCTTCTTGAATATGTAAAATACAGTATACGTTAAATCATTATGGTATTTTTGTGTGCCTTAGATATCCATTTTAAAACTTGTATATTTTTGGTGAGCCTAAGATATAATAAAATTACAGCTGTACATACAGTAAGTAGTACTGTAAGCTGCTGTAGCTGCTCCAATAATATATTTGTTATACAAGTACCCTTGTCTAGCATAATGGTAAATTATGTACTGGAAAGATTTTTTTGTTAATTGTATCATTGATAGCTTCACCATTATTTCACAATGCCATATGCATATATAGTGCATAATGAAAAAATCCTGTAAGAATCAGCAACTCTCTAGCGCAATGATTCTCAAACAGGGTGCCACAGCACCTTTCAAGGGTGCAACAGTGTACCACACAATATTGGCACTGTTAGATATACAAACATGATACATAAAACATTCACGGCGATTTCAAATGGAAATCCCTAATGTTAAAACTATTCTGACCTGTTGGGGGCTTTCTAAATTTTTACAAAAGAATAATTGCTCTATTATCTTTCTACAGTCAAAGAATGAGTGAAAACTAAGAGTTGGCATTTTCTGAGGGGTACCTTGCATGTAGTAAAGGGTGCCTTGAGTCTAACATTGAAAACCACTGCTCTAGTGAATACCAACCTTTCTACTTAAATTTAGCTAGGAAAGCTTTAGGGCAATTATTCAGCCTTGCAACAAGTTCAAGAAATTAACATAGATGAATGTCCACTTAAACCCTTCTCGAGAAATGCCTTACTTAAAGGTTTGTAAATGACTAGAAAGTTCAAGTGATAAAAGTATTCCTTTAGAAAAACAAAAGGGTCAGTCAGAGAACCAGGAAACAGGAGAGGTGCATATAAGAGGACATCTTTAAGCAAGGTCGTTCTTTACAAGTATTTTCTCATCTGACTACATCAGTAAACCCCCAGCAACTCCAATAAGGAAATACAACCTAATAGGTTTCATGCAGCAATTGAGAAGAGAATACATCTTAAAATATTCCAATTATTACTTGGTAGCTGCTAAAATCCTCAGTACTGCTTTATTACAGTTATTGAAATGGTAAAAATGCCCAGTCCAAAGAGTTAAATATTACCCCCATTGCTATTTTCTTGACAATTTATAAAAAATATCCTAATTATAGTTACATAATCACATCTGATAGGCAGATTAGCTGCCACCTTTTTTATTTTCTGATGTGGCACTTAGCAGAGTGCAATCTGAAAAGCAAATATTTTCTAGTAACATATTGTGCTACAAAAATACACCTATTTACTGTTTTTACAGCTGTGTGCTATTTATTATAACATTTCAGAATATTTATGAATCTTGCACACACACCTCTGTGTTGTTTTGAGTAAGATTATCACTTATAACAATATTATCCTCTAAAATATATAAATTGTGGAATACAATTATTTCTCTTCCACCCCACACAACTGCTCTGTGATTTTCCTCTTATCCTCAGCAAGGTTCTTCCATGTTGGCCAGGTCAAGAACCAGATCCAAGGACAAGATAACTAAGAATCTAAGAACCAAATGGTTTTCTGGATCCCATGTGGGTATCAATAGAAGTGGTGTTCATAGAGAAAGGGTAGTATAGATCTCCAAATGTTTAACTTTGCAAATTTCTGACAGGCTGTATTTTTACTTTTATACTTCTGAACAATATTCCAGCAAGGAACCCAACACAGCACACCTTTGACTTTCCAGAAGGAATATCGCTCATCCCTTCCTCTAAGGGGCCCCATATATTCAGTTTGGAGAAAAGGAGTAATACTTGGTAGAATATATCATTCCTCTTTGACTCACATGAGCCACTGTTGCAAGAATGCAGTAGCGTCCACTGAAATGAAGAATGCTGCCACTGCAGTTCTTCTGTTCTTATTGACACAGGGAATGAGGTACCAAGCTGGGATCTTAAACTTAAAACCCACAGATAGTAATGTAGACTATTTCTGTGAGGCAACATGACCAGTATTTTTATAATACTGTTCAAAACACACAAAAACCGAGTGACAGTAGCCACAATTATGATAGAATTGTATTTTTAAATGATCCTGACTTAATTAATTGACATTTGTATTTAGTGTCATGGTCATTAAGATTTGTGATCTTAGATACCACAATGCTTCCTTATGTTTAAAATAGGGAATTATTGTAGTATTTTCAACAATGTAGTGTGGTAACTGTGGGTAAAATGGTGATTTTTTTGTTTTAATGCCTACTGTTGTATAGAGCACACAATTGTTTTCTCCTTTTAAAATATCTTCTTAAAACCATTACAGTATTTTTTTTAAGTTAGGTGGTCAATTTGGGTCTCGTTTACATCACTGCAGTACCACTACTTGCAGTGTGCTGATTTATCAGGCTTTCCTGCAATTTTTATACTTAACTCAATATGCATTGATATAATTGAACCAAATTCTGTGCTTGATACTGTATAAATCCCTTGCAGTTAATGGAGCTATGGAGGTGCAAATGGCAGTAGTATTTGGTCCAGTATGTTAGTATGCTTTTTGTTAAATGTAGAGGTCTTACAAAAACTTACAAAAAAATTGTATTTGCATTTTTATATTTAAAAATTAGGGCTCAATCCTGCCCTACAGTAAACAGAAGCATATGAAATCTGCTATGTAGTCAGTCCTAATGATTATTGTCTGATTTATAATTTATGTAAATGTCTAATTTCTTCTCAGATTTGCACAGAAATGCTGTAATGTACACACAAATGAGGAAACACCCTTTCCAAATTATGAAAAGTTAATTTGTATGCCAGTTTTCAGATGTTTTTACGCATAGCAGTAATTGTCATATTGAATGAATGGTCTCTCAACTCCATTGTAGCAATTACAACAGCATTTCTTCTGAAGTCAGATCTTTGTAACATGCTATTAAACTGTCATTGTGTTCTATGTCTCACATGTGGAAGAATGGCTACCTAACTGTAATACATTAGGAGAGCCTTTGACCTTACATGATGAAATTACAGAGGAAGACAGGCCAACCACATATGGAAAGGCTGTTTTGTTTTGTTTTATCTTTTTTTGTTTTAATTTAACCAACTGTTAAATTTAGTCTGGAAAACCAAGAGAGCAACTTTGTCATCAAACGAAACTGCAGGGAAACACATTTTAATTGTGCTATGACATCCTGCACTGCATTACAATGTCTGTGTCATACTATTGCATCTCAGCCAGGGGGACATGTCACCAGGTCATGTTACTGCTGTAGGTTGATGTGGCTCTTAATTCCTTTTCTCATCTTCCTCTGAAGGAATTAATCTTGCCTCGTTTCTGTCTGCCCTACTTTTACTTCCTTGTAAAATCAAAAAGGCCACTTTCTCTTTAATCTACCACATATATGGTCCTTGGACAAAGAACTGAGTGCTGCTATAATTACCAACCTGTTCATTCTGCCTGAAGTGGGAAGTGGAGGACTAATCAGGCATGTGAAGCCTGAAAGTTGTATATAAAGCTATGAAGAGCTGCATACAGCCTGTGATCCGATTTAAAAAATACAACGTATTCAGATACGATGAAGCATTTCTGTTAGTCTCCCCCTTTTTATCTGCTCTTAAGAATCATAGCCTGTGTAAAAAGTACTGAAACTATGACATCAGTATTTTGCTGAAGTAGTGGGAAACCACAATAAAAGAATTTTCTGGGACTCTGATATTTCAGACAAACTGTCTTGTATCATTATTGTTTATATGTAGTAATTATTATATGTAGTGATTCAGTACCATATTGTTTATATGGTACTGAAGTATACTGCGGTAAAACTGTGACTGCTATTCCCTTTGGACTCTGAAAAAGGAAAGTTGCATATCTTTTTGTTATCCCAATAGCCAAAAATCTCTCTTTTTTCAAAAAGTACATAGGAGATTGAGACTAGCCTCCAAACACTACAGACCAGTTTCTGGAGTCAGTGGTGTTTCTTTGAATGCTACTAAGATCAGACTTTGTTTTGTCTGTGCTAGAGATTGTCAATTTTTTTCAGCAAATTATTTAGTGAGCTTGTATCTCATGCTTGTTTTGTCATTTCCATTTTAGAAGCTTAGGTGTTTCAGAGGAGGTAGTTACTTATAACATTACAGTATAATATTTAGTGACATATATGGTCTGTTTTTATTTCTTCAGTGACAATGAATAATTCTCAACACATGCTGTATCTTCTCTCTTTAGGATATTCTATTGGCTTGCTTTCCCCTTAGGCTTCTTGTCAGTATAGGCAATAGTTAAGGGACCTATCGAATTCATGGTAGAAGTGGGCTGTGCAACAGCTCCTTTAGTCTTGCAGATTCCTCTGCACACACCCCTTCCCCCGCCTCCACCAATTGGCAGAAGGGCCCCACAGCTCACACCTGATTGGCAGGAAGGTGAAAACCGTGGCTTTAAATACAGTGCCATTTTTGCCTCCCAGCAGCAGCAAGCAGCAGGGCCATGAGGACTCCTCAGCCAATCAGCAATGGGGGGGGAGATGCATGGGGAAACCTGCAAAACTAAAGGAGCTGCTGCACAGTTCACTTTCGCTGTAAATTCAGTAGGTCCCTAGCAATAGTGAACCTTTCAGCTCTCTCGGCTCTCTGGTTGATCCCTTTGTAGTTCACCTGCTCTATATATCCATATCAGCTGTCAGCTCAAGGTGATGGTCTAGCCTTCTGTTACAGAATACTATGAAGATTTGAATTTTCCTGAATACACACCTTCAATAATTTTTCTTTGAAAAAACCTCCTTTGTTCTTTAAGGTAGCAAATCAAGTGTAAGCCTTGTCCTTGATTTTTTTTTCCCCCCCATCTCACCTCTCCTTTGTCTGTTAATCTGCTTTTCTCTACCTTACTGGGTGCATCTACATGAAATGCTATGTCGCTGTAGTGACAAGCTATGACAACGTAGCATCAGTGGGCATGAACCATGACACAGATGCTACTGCACAGTAGCTCGTTTCTACTGTGTAGTAGGGTCATAAA